AGTTCCAAGGGGCTCCTCACCACACCTTCCTATGCACTGATTGCCTTGGCTGCTCTGCTTCCCGCCTCTCTCACTCATCATCCTTTTAATTCACAACAGGAAGACACACTCTGCACCTGCTTTGAATATCATAGTATTGCCCAGACTATAAAAGCTTCAGGGGCAGCAAAGGGCCATGTTAAAGATGGGCAACCTGATGAGAGGCAGACAGAACAGCACAAGGTTATTGAAAGGGTGATGCCTTTGGGATTCAGTTGACAAAGGCAACTTGTGGAGAGCCACAGCCTCCGCCGCCATTACAAGATGGCGCCGGTATCCGGACCTTCTTAAAAGTAAACATCCTGCCACACCCATAAGGGGCGTGCACAAGAGCCTGCTTTTCCCCGCCGCCTCCCGTGGCATGATCTCCAGCAACCAATCCGCTTCATATACGTCACAAATGGGACCTTTGGGGCGTATATAAGCAACAGCTCTCCCACTTCTCGGGGTCTTTGGTCTTCAGTCTTCAAATAAACTGCTGCAGAAGGATCCTGATTTGTCCTCCCGCGTCGTTCTTGCTGGCGAGACGGAAAGCGGTCGGGGACATATAGGCACATGAGTAAGCCATTAATATGAGAACTCTCCAGGTCTTTGACACAGGGATCTAGGCACTTAGTGCTCTAAACTTTCCTCTGAGGACTGTCTTTATTTGTCCCGTTTATTTTGGTATATTGTGTTTTCATTTTCATTCAATTCTAGGAAATTTAAATTTGCTTCTTGATTTCTCCCTTGACCCAATGTTCACTCAGGGGTGTGTTGTTTAATTTTCATGAATTTGTGTAATTTCCCCATGTCTATTGTAATCAGCAACCAATCCGCTTCTTATGATCTCCAGCAACCAATCCGCTTCTTATGATCTCCAGCAACCAATCCGCTTCTTATGATCTCCAGCAACCAATCCGCTTCTTATGATCTCCAGCAACCAATCCGCTTCTTATGATCTCCAGCAACCAATCCGCTTCTTATGATCTCCAGCAACCAATCCGCTTCTTATGATCTCCAGCAACCAATCCGCTTCTTATACGTCATAAATGGGACCTTTGGGGCATATATAAGCAACAGCTCTCCCACTTCTCGGCGTCTTTGGTCTTCAGTCTTCAAATAAACTGCTGCAGAAGGATCCTGACTTGTCCTCCCGCGTCGTTCTTGCTGGCGAGACGGAAAGCGGTCGGGGACAGCAACTGAATCCCTCTGTTTATCCTCTGCCCCTTCAACTGTCCATCATCCAGCCATTCCTCCATATACCCAGTCATCCATTCATCTATCCACTCACCATCTACCATCACCCATTCATCTGTCCATTCACTATCTGCCCATCCATCCACCCACCCACCCCATCTACTCTACTTCATCCCTCTCTATTCACATCTTAGTATGAATCACAGTTCAGAAATGAGATAGTTGCCACTGGGATGCAGAAGGTTTTAGAAACAAAATTAAACTTTTAAAATGGAAATTTGAATTCTGAACTGGTCAATCAGCTTGCCAAAAAGCACTGCCTTTGCTAATTCAGTTACATGGTATTTCCTAGTCCACTAAACAAAGCATCAGCCCCAAATATATCGAAAACATGTAAAGAGAACATTTCCAGTTATACACAGATAGTCCCTGGCTTATGATGGTTCAATTTTTTGACTTTATGATGGCACAAAAGTGATATTCTGCTTTCCATAGAAGTTGCCTAGTATTTTGAATTTGGAGCTTCCCTGGTGATGTGTGGCATAGTAACTCATGTGATGTTTGTGGTCATGAGGGTAGACAGTGGGTATCTTCATGTCCTGTCTCGCTAAGTGATGATATTTGGTAGGCTTAGGGTATTAAATAAATTTTATGCTGCAATATTTTCAGCCTATAAGAAATTTATTGACATGTGACCCATTGCAGGTTAGGGAAATCATCTGTGCTTTGTACCTGCTAGATTTCTGAGGCCCTTTTAGAGAACAATTCAAAAAGCTGCAGGAGACAGGATTGTTCCAGAATTTAGGGAACTGGACTGTTAGAAAAATAGTCTTGTGTGTGATTTATAAGAACGGACATTTGGAATCACCTAAGTTCCTGTGTCAGTGTCAGCACCATGACAGACTACCTGGTAGAAACAGCCCGAGGAGGAAAGGGTTCATTCTGGCTCATGGTTTCAGAAGTTTCAATCCACAGTGGCTCTGTCACTCTAGGCCTGTGCTAAGGCAGAACATCACAGTGGTGGGAGTATGTGGCAGAGGCTGCTTATCTCACCACAGGCAGGAAGATGAGGAAAGCATCTCATGCATGAAAGGGCCAGGGCAAAATTGCTGGGCTGAGGAAAAATCCTGTCTAGTGCCAAAATGTGAGACATTGTCAGGCCAGCCTCCTAAGTCTGTGGGTTGCTGTGCAATCACCTACAGGTGCCGGGTCCCAGGAGATCACAGATGGGAGGCTACTGGGTGGACCCTCTTGCATTCCTCCCACCTTAATAAGCCAGAGCCTGGGTGAAGTGTCTAAGAAGGAAAATTTAATTCAAGTTTCTTTGACCCAATAGATCTGAAGCCATAGAGGTCCCCTTCCCCTTCTTTGCTATAAACTCCCACAAAAGCAGCCTTTGTCAAGATGTGGCGGGTCTTCACCTTCTCCCCCAATAAGTAACTGGCAGTCCCACTATGGGGTGAGCTGCCTTTAGCCTTCATCCAGACCCGGCCCTGCTGTCAGAGAAGGGGTGAAACCTGTTGCCCCCAGATCTCTGACAGTCTGGCATGCCTTATCCTCAGCACCCAGACAGATGGTGAGGGTGTGGCAGGGGTGGGAGCCGGGGAAGGGCTCAGCCTTGAGAGCAGCTGCAGAGTCACGCTGGGTCAGCTACAGCCTGTCTAGGGCTGAGGGGTCACAGAGAGGGGACTCTGCCTGTCCTGGCTGTCAGGGAAGGCTTTTGAGAGGTGATAATTAACCTGGGGCAGAGGGCAAGAAGGGATTCTGAAGTGGCCTCACCCTTGCAGAAGCCATAAGTGTCCTGAACAGAGTTCTGTGCTGGGCGCGCCCTGCCAGGTGCTAAGGGCAGTGTCACCATCTAGGAGCCCCTAGATTGGGGACACGAATCCCAGGGCTCTGGCTGCCATGGACTGATTGTGCCCACTTAGGCCATATGCTTCATGACACATGCTGAGCCTTCCAGCAGGATACAGCTCCAAAGCAGGATACAGCTCCCTCCAAAGCCAGCAGCCATGACAGTTCAGGACTGATGCGTCCAGCCTGTACTGTTCCATCGTTCATCTTGTAGCTGTATACACAGACTGGGACACCAGACTGCCCCTCTTTGAAGTTCACCACCTGCTTGCCCTGTCTCAGGGCAGGCATTGGCTCAGGTGGCTGGCACCCTCTTTGGAAAGAAAGGCCCTAGGAAAAGTTTGGGACCACAGCTTGAGATTGTCAGGGCCAGCAGCCACTTCAATTCAGAGGCTTTATCTGGCAGGTCAGGGTGTCTCAAAGAAAAGGGGTGACCAAAAGAAATGAGGCTTTGTGGAGTGCTAAATTACCATATGAACGGAGGTGGCAAGCTTGCCTGGGATACCAAAGGGAGTTGCAATGCTAGAGGGGCAGGGGAAAGGAGGGGGCTGGCAGACAGCACCCCTCAGCTACCTGGACCACATTCCTCAGATCTGGGGCACTTACCACTCCCTCCCAGGCCCCATCCTCATTTGTCATTCTTCTCAGTCTTCAGAGGCACCCACGGGGTTGCAGAACAGTTGGGATTGAGAGGTAGCTTCTAGGCCCCAAGGCTGGCCACCATGAATTATCAGGAATGTCTACGGCTTTAGCTCAGTTCCCCTCCTGTTGCTGCCATCAAGGAAATCCAAAGACCATTTTGCCTGTGACTTTTGAATTTCCCCTCCCCACCACAGGCTTAGGTATCTGTCATGGCTGTGTAGAGCAGCCACACGAAGCCATAACTACAGGTGTTTTATAGAAAAAAATACACCTGGCTTTCCTGGCTATGGCAAGCCCTTGGCATGGGGACCTTCAAATAGCAATGACCACTTCACACAGGTCTGGTTTGTGCTGTGGTGGAGGCCCTGTACACAGACTGGCCTCCCTCAAGGGCCAGAGAGGACACCATCCTATTGAATGGCAGCCCAGGATTCTTGGGGCCCTCTGTGCTTTGTGCCTCTGCTGTTCCTTGCCGGTCTTGCGTCCCAGTCAAGAGCTGGTTCTGGCTCAGAACCAGCTACAGCTGAAGCAAGTAGTGGGGGTGGAGCATGGGAACCATTGTTCTACAGGCTGAGGGTGTCCAGATTCCCAGGGGTGGGACAGATGACCCAAGGTGGCTGCTCAGTGGAGGAGGGGATGACTGGAACACTTAAGGACAGAAGTGAGTCAAAAGGGACCAGTATTCCACTGTCCTGAGGGGGAGCAGCTATTGCCAAGGTTACAAAATCCTCTGCTCAGAAATCTGCACTTCCAAGACCATGAGGGAGCATGAGACCCTTGGCAGCCTGGCAGGATTTTCTTCTTCCTGATTGTTGGGAATGAGGGGCAGAGCTGGGATCCTAGGTGGCTTTGCCCATGTCCCTTTGCATCACTGAGTGGCACAATTCCCTAGTGTCCAGAAGGACTGAAGAGTCTTTTAGCTCATTAGGTTGGCTGGGACTAGGGCCAAAGTTAGCAGCCAGGTTCTGAAGGTGGTACCGTCGTGCCTGGCAGCTGCTCCTTTGGGGAGGGGTAGAGAGCTGGGCAGAAGTCAGCTAAGGCTGAACACATAGACTGCACAGCAGCACACCTCACTGTGATTTCACTGAAACATGGTTCAGACTCTGACTTAAGGGGAAAATAGGTCAGTTACCCAGGGGACTTTGGGGCCAGTTCCAGGAGGTTCTGCTTGGTACTGAACTCTCCTTCCCTCACCCTGCTCACACATGGTACAAACAGTTTCTACCAGTTGAAGTCAGAGTGGGAAAGGTGAATATTCCTTTACCGGGAATAAATCACAGCAGTAATCAAGACTTCAAAGGAAATTTATTTTTTTTGAAAGGTCTGAGGGGGACTTTACAAGAGTCTGAAGCCAGTAACTACAAAGGAAGATAAATAAAATACAGAGCCAGTATGTTGTGGCAAATTTCCAGAAAACACACTGAAAATCTTTACAGTTTTTTAAAAACTGCTTCACTTTATACATAATTACAAATTAATATACAGCGCTTGGGTTTTAACCCATCTTTTTAAGAGGGCTTAGTACAGAAATGTTCATACAGCATCTGGAGACAAATAATCAGAACAGAGGTATAGGTATATCATGCTCAACTCTTGAAGAGTACAGACCTTGAAAGGGAAGGTACCCTGCATGGTGACACCCACAAAACCCAAGGCAAAACAACCAGGCACGTCCATTCTGGCAGGTGGTAACCAAAGGCAAGGGATAGCCAGTGCAAGGAAGATGTGAGGCGTGGTTCTGTACCTCCTGCAGAGGTGCCTCTGTGAAGGGTGGTGCCTGCTTAAGTTTCTTCTGTGGCAGGGTGTACTCCCAGCTGCCCACCCTTACACCTTAGTGAGATGGAGAACTTACGGCCTGTCAATCTTTTGACAAATTAAAACGGAGGAGTGCAGGAAAGGTCTATGCTTAACCCCCCACCCCCTTGGCAGCATTAGAATACTTTTCATTTCCAAACTTGGCCAGCAGGTAGCAGACTCCAAAGCTCTGTTTAACTAGGAATGTTAAGCTACATGAAGAAAAACAAGGAACCAAACCCATTTTGTCCTTGGTCTCTGCAGAAGGGACAAGGCAGGCTGGCAGGGGTAGAGAGTCAGGGTCACTGCTTCACCTAAAGGCTCCATGTCCCAGGTGTCCAGGCATGGGAGGTGGACACCCTTCTGCAGTGTCTGGTCACCTTGAAGTCATCTTTCTGGCTATGGAAAGAGTCCCCAGGACTGTCTTCTGGGTACAAGTGGCCACACAGTCTCAAAGTCAACTTTCAGTTCCAAGGAAAATCTCGAAAGCCTTGGGAAGAGAGAACCCACAAGGGCACAAGAGCCTTAGAGACAGAAGAATGAGCCATCAAGTATTTCTACGGGGAGTGACCTTAAGCTCTATCTAGCCTGTGGCCCAAGGTTCTGTCCTTTACTAAGCCTGCACACACTAACGCCATCCCCAATAAATGAACAACCAAACCCCAAGGGCTGAACATTTTGTGCTTACTACTAATACTGATGCTACTAATACTAGCCAAGGGCAGCTTCAGTGGTATAACCCTGAGACACGGGATAAGAAAGAATATTTAGTTCGTACCTTTTCAAAAAACAATCTTGGTGAGGACTTCTTCCTGTAGGTGACTCTCATGGAGGTGAGGAGAGCGGTGGCCAAAGGCAAATATGGTAACTAGCATATTTTACATTTTAAAAACATCTTCTAGGAAAACAGTTAACAGGTTTGATTGTCTCAAAATAGAAGCTGATGAGAGGTCATTTAAAGTGCACATGTCACCCAGATAGATGACAACTACTGAGATAATTTTTGAGAGAAGATACAATATCATTCCAGGAAGCTCACGAGATTCTGTAAATCTGGGGTCAATTTCTATCTACTCCCCAAATCTTAAGAATAATTTCAGGCATTAGTTTCTTTAGTTTGTTGGAAAAACAGACTCTTAGTGTGGGAACAGCACACTATACAGTACAGGATCCAATCCTGATCCCTAGAAAACCACACTTCTCATAGGTGAGACACCCACACAAGGCTTTAGACTCAGAGCTACAGCAACCCTCAGGGTCAGAAGCAAGAGCACAGCAGCAACAACCTAGACATTTCCCCAAGCACAACAGACCCCTGAGGGGGAGCCAGATGGTGCAGGCAGGCGAAGCAGTTCTTGGTAAGTGTTCTCTTCCTGCAGGAAGTTGGGCAGCTTAGGGAATTGCTTATGTTCCTTCTGATTCTCAACTTTTCCAACTGGAATTGACCAAATCAGTTCAAGTGGGTGTGGGTAGAAGTGCAAATGGTTTTTAAAAGCTACCACCAAATGACCAAAGCAAGCTAAACACATCATAGCTGGTTGCAAGTAAAGGACTCCCTGGGGGAGCATCAGCCTCTGGGGTATTAGCAGACAGTGACAAGGACAGCCAGCTAAACCCAAAGGTGGGCCCTCTGAAACGTGGCAGACTCTGCTGTAATAGCTGTATGGACTGCAACTGGAAGGAAGCAACTGATGTCTTGCTACAGAGAGTCTTTTGGGACCTATATCATGGGTTTCAATAGGCAAAAAACAATAAGAACAACAAAAACCCCAGACTTAAGACCCAAATCAGCTATTTCTCAAGTTTCTATGACAAAAATAGGCAAAGGTAGCAGATACGTGGCAAGTCTTTAAATCTTCAAACAAAGAACACATCCCTTATGAAAAAATGCACAGGGCATAGCCTCTGTCCCAACTCTCAACGTCCCTCTAGGCCTTCAGGCACTTAGACAGACACTTGATTCTCTGCACTGAAAAGATAATTTAAACTGCTGGGCCAGTACTGGTTCACCTTCAAAATAAAATAAAACAAAACACAAAACATACAAAATAAATTAAAAAATTTAGGCTAAAGATTTAAAACCAGACCTCTTTCAAACAAACTGAAAGATAAATATCTCCATCTGCAAGGCCAGCTTGCAATTCATCAACAAGCACCAAGTTACAGGTTTGTTTTTCAGAACTACGTTTAAAGCCCCATGCTCGAGGGGCAAAACCAGGAACTGAAGGCCACATGTGAAGCACAGACCTCTCAGGATGTTCCTCACAGCGAGTACCCTGAGGGACAGGCAAGTGAGCCTTGGAGGGAACATTACCAATGAACTGTCCTGCATACACCAGCTGGTAAGAGCCTTAAACACACACAGACCAAAACACATGGAAAGGACAGAGAAAAGAGAAAATACTCAGCACTGTGAAAACATAATCTATAACAGAACTTTGGATCTGAAAAACCACATTTCAGGAGGCCTCTTGACAAAGGAGAGCATGCCCAGTCATGTTTTAGGGCCAGTTTCTCGCCTGTGTAAACTGGCAAAGCCACCATACACAGGTTGCTTAACCTCTGCACCTGAATCTATTCTCAGCCAGTCATCCCAGATCAGGGAAAGACAACAGAAGCCTCAGGGCACAGTCTGGTCCTGGGTAGGGGGCTGTGCACAACAACAGGGTGCATGCTCTCTCACAGGGTGGCCCAGTGACACCAGAAAGTGTCATATTGGAGGGATAGTGGTGAGGAAGCCTTCTTCCTCTGTGCCCAGAGCATGTAGGCAAGCACCTGGAGAGGCAGTGTGTTTCTCCTGGATTTGAGGATAAAGTGAGATATTGTTTAGTTCAGCCTGGGATGTGGAGATCCAGGCAGTGCTGACTATATGCTTTTAGTATGCATCCAGTCACCTCCTGGTTTCACAAGCGTTTGTCATCTCTTCTAAAATGAAATGAACACATGCAAAGAGGGGTGGTGTGTGCACAGCATTGTTTCAAGGTACCCAATCTCAGAAGACTACAGGGTGAAATACTGAAAATCCACATGCCCTCTGGCAGTGGTCAGGTGCTTACTCTTGGGCTAAGCTTTCCTGATGTCTAGGATAGACTGTGTGCACTGCTGGTGTACCTCATATGTACGGGAAGATGGGCACTGCACAGATACGAAGTCCACACCACTTGCTCTTTGATTCTGGTTATGTTCCCCAAAATACAAGCCAAGCAGAGTTTCAGACCTCATCTGGAAACACTCTTTAAGCCTTTAGGGAATCCTGACACTTCCCAAACTATCATCTACTTCTGGGGCCACTTCTTTCAGTGTAATACCCTGAGTAGGGCCAGCCCACCCAAGTCCTGGGCAGTCACAGATCATGGCTGAAGTGGAGTCTGGGTGGCCTTCCCCACCCTTACACACAGACAGTGATCCTTCTTGTCCAGGACCCTGGGCAGCCCAGGAGGACTGGACGCTGAAAGGCAGTGGGCGTCCAGTGTAAGAGACTTGTGCACAAGGGACAGCAGGAGTGCGGCATGGGGTGCCACAGCTAGGTCAAGGTCAGGGTTGGGAGGTGGGTGCCTTCGCAGATAACCAGTCAGCAGAAGATCTCTTCGCCCTCTGCTGATACTTCTGATGCAGGACCATCTGCAACAGTGAAACCAAGAGTGAGGAAAAAAAAGGAATCTAGAAAACATGGCTCTTCTCATTCCACTTCATGCCTCTTCAAGTCTCTGTGATGCAACAGGTGACTAGGGTTCTTGGGCAGCTAACTCTACACACCCACTAGAGTTTCCAAATCAATTTAGTGAATGAGGTCCTTAGAGCAAAGAAAGGGAAGACTAACTTTCACATAAGCACTAGTGCTCATGTTTGTAAATGGCCCCCACAAAGCACAAAGGGAGAGTTCTAATGTGAAGGCACAGCAAAGGATTCAGGGAAAATGTGGCACACAAACAGGGAGGCACTTCCTATACTTTAGCCAAGGCTCTGTGAGCAGTGTATCAGACGATCCAGTTCCTGATCTACTGAGTGTAGATCTCTGACCTGCAGAATCATTTGAGGGCTAAACCCTGAGATACTAGCTACTTCAGTGAGCCTAGAAAGAAAGCTTTTGAATTACTACAGTTAGGCAAGTTCTAGTTCCTCAAATGGAAAAAGCTTCAGAAGTAAAACCTACACTCCACATGCAAGCGCTCCAGAGGGTCTTGGACACTCATTGCACAGGTGATCTTTTTGAGTGTTCATGTGCATGCACTTGTGGAGACCAGAGGTTGCTGAATGTCATTTTCAACCACTCCTGATCTCTTTCTTTTGGACAGTCTCTCTGACTGAACATGGAACTCATCAGGATCCTTATCTCTGCCTCCCCAGTTCTGGGGATTGAACTGAAATACTCATGCTTGCACAGCAAGCACTTTACCAACTGAGTCATCATCTCTACAGCCCCTGCATAAGCATTCTTAGCAAGTGGGCTTGGTGAGAAGAGGGCCAGCTTGGCTGCTGCTCATCTGAGCTGTGCCCCTTTTCACCCCAACCATTACCCTCCCCTTTAGAATGCACGGATGCCATGGCCAGAGGAAGACAAGGGTGGGCAACTTACCACCAGGCTGAGAACGGCTTCCTTTGCTCTTCTTTTTTTTCTCCTTCTTTTCCTTTGGCTTAGCTAACCCAAAAAGGCGGGTAGAAGTGGAAGTGCTGGAAGGGGCCTGGCTCTGCCCCTCTGGTATTTTTGTTTGGCTGGTTGAACTTAGTATGTGAAAAGGCCCCTTATCTTTCTGTGTCCGAGAGATGCTGTTCCTTTTAGGAGACACTGAAAGTTCTGAGTCCAATGGCCCCGATTTGGCTGTGGATGGCAAGGAGGACTCCTCTGGATTGGGTAAGAAGGATGGGACCCGCATCAGCCTGGTATGTTGACGTGAAACCTGCACATATTCAAGAGAAGGCATTTTAAATAGCAAGCCATCAGCATCTTGGTGCAAACAGTCTACAGAACTTATTGTAAAGACTTGGAACTTCATGTAACTGGTGCCTTCTAAGTACTCTCTATGAACAGACTAAAACTATCACCTTTGAAAGTAACACTGGTATTATAAAGGGTGAATAGCACCTTTGATAGGTCAACTTAGGAAAAAAAACTCTTACTCCCTGAAGAAACAGGGCAGCTGCTCTAAAGACTGATTCTCACAGGGATATAGATACTCATTTCAGAGCAAAGAGATTATGAACCTGGTCAGGCTAAAGGGTAAGTAAAAGAACTATGTTTCCACTAAGACATTAAACCAAAGATCACAAGCATCATTTGATCTGTGTTCTCAGTTGCCTAGGGACCTTCCATTATCAGTCTTACTGATTTTATTGGGATGAGGGTGGATCTATCCTTCTGTCAGAAAAAGCAACAGAGCCATTTGCTGCTCCCCACCATGTATATGAGAACACTTTCGAAAGAGTACTGTGCCCAAGTCTCGAAGATGTCACTTCAATTTTCTGGTCCAAGGTCAATCAAACAAGTGGCAATACAATAATAGCTTTAAAAGACACGGAGATTTGCATATATCGTCTAGGCTGTTTATCTGCCTCTCATGTCCATGATCCAAAGCAACCATAGATTATTTTGTTATAATAAACTTGGAGCCACTGTGCTGACCAACCAAATGCTTTCCAAAACAAGCACCAGCTACAGAACGAAGAAAGGTTTCATTAACAGCAGCAAAGCAAATCAGGGGGCTGAAGAGATGGCTCAGTGATTAAGAGCATTTTCCAGAGGACACAAGTTCAGTCCCCAGCACCCATGCAGGGCAGCTCACACTGGCTCCAGGGAATCTAACACCCTCTTCTACCTTGGGGGTACTGAACCCACAGATGCACACACATAAATACAGACACCTACATATAAAATACAAAACAAAATCTTTTATTTAGAGGCTGAGAGATGGCTCAGTAATTAAGAGCACTGACTATTCTTTACAGAGGACCCAGATTTGGTTCTCAGCACCCACTTGGTGGCTAACAACCATCTGTAACTCCAGTTCTAGGGGACTCAATACCCTCTTCTGGCTTATACACACACAGTATCGCTCACACACAGTACACTCACACACATGCAGGCAAAACACTCATACACATGAACTAAAAATAAATAAAAGCACATCAGGCATTATGCAGACTCTAGGTGTCTGAACATGCCTATCTAAGAGTACTATCTGTGTTCAAGAGAGGTGATCACCTCCCACCATATGCTGGACTGGGCTCTTTGCTTTGTCACTGACCCCTGTTGACCCTCTGCAGAGATTCATTATCTTGCAGAAGAGCTGACTGCTGTTGTATCCTGACCACAGGCATTGTATGTTCTAGGGGCTTCTTTATCCTTGGTGTGTTTCCCATTGGCTGCAGGGTCCTCTAAGTGGGGACCATGTTTCATTTATCATGTGTTACAGGACAAAGAGCTAACTGCCACTCTTTCAGACATGCTGAGGTTACTCGGGCTCGGGTTGGTGGCTGAGGGATGTGCTTGCCAGCCTAACTTCTCTAGCCAAAACCCTCAACATTTCCACCACCCTCTTCAATCTCCTGGAGATACTCGCTTCCTTTCCTTGTTTCCCTCTCAGGGTAAAGCAAAGGCATCTTGTCTCTGCTTACTTTCATGTGGTACTTAGGACAGAGAGCTCATCATCACCCCCAAGCGCTGCCTGGACTTTACACCAGAGGTGAAGAAGGTCCCCTCGTCCCTGTCTCCTGGCCTGGCACAGGTTCTTGGGTACCTGGCAAAAGTCCTGTTCCATCTGCTTTTGGTTAAGCCGCTCTGCATCCCGCCGCAGCTGTTCCTGTTCTCTCTCCAGCTGTTTCTGGGCGGCCCGTAGCCTCTCCAAGTCACACTGGTAGGTGCCCTTCTTCTGCTGGAGCTCTTCTCGGTCCTTCTCCAGGTCCTGCTGCCCAAGGCGCACCATCTCCTCCCGCTCGGCCAGCTTTGCCTCCCGTTCTTGTAGCTCCCGCTCACGGGCCTCCCACTCTCGCTCATGCCGACGCTTCTCTTCCAGGTGCTGTGCCTGCTGCTTTTGCAAGTTGGCCAGGTCCTGGCGCTGCTTTTCTAGGCTCCGCTGCTTCTCCTGCTCAATGAGGGAGCTGGGGCGGGATGTACTCCTTGTGAGTGCCTTCTCAGTTAGCACCAGCTTCTGGTCCTCGATGTAGGTATCTTGCTGTAGTACAACACCCTGTTGGGGCACAGAGAACAACCATGCGACTGAGACCTAGAAGGAAAACTGCCTGCAGGGTCCCTCCCGGACCCCACACTACGGGTCCTGGGATACACTGACCTACAACTCATTTTTTTAAAAAATATTTTATTATTTTTATTTTGTGTGTATGAGTGTATTGCCTGCATGTAAGTGAGTGCACCCGTGTTGTGCAATGCCACGGAGGTCACAAGAGGGCTTCCAATTCCCCGGGAACTGGAGTTAAGGATGGTTTGCAGCCACCATGTTGGGTGCTGGGAATCAAACCTGGGTCCTCTGCAAGAGCAGTCAGTGCTCTAAGCCATCTCTCCAGCCCCCTCCCTTTTTTTTTTTAAAAATTAATTAATTTTTTTTTTTTACAACTCATGTTTTAAAGGTTTGGTAACACTGCTCCAGGCAACCTTTGAGCACTTATCAAGTAGGAGTGTCGAAGGTATAGGAACTCAATTTTGTCATACCTAGTCACTGTTTTTTTTTTTTTTTGTCTCTTTCAGACAGGGTCTCCCTGTAGCCCCAGCCGGCCTGAAATTCACTATGTAGAACAGGCTGGCCTGGAACTCACAGAGATCTACCTGCCTCCAGAGTACTAGGTTAAACACGGCCAGCCATTTTTTTTTTTTTTAATGTAAAAAATTTTATTAGGCTCCACACGATGGCACACACCTTTAATTCCAGCACTCAGGAGGCAAAGGCAAGTGATCTCTGAGATTGAGGCCAGCCTGGTCTATATACAGAGTTCCAGGATAGCTAGGGGTATAGGGAGACCCTATTTCAAAAACAAAGACAGAAAAAAAATCATTACATTTTCACTTATTTGTGTATTTGAGGGTGCATGTGTGCATGGGGGTCAGAGGACAACTTGCAGAGGAGTTAGCTCTCTCCTTCCACCACCCTGGTCACATTTTCTGTAATTCTTGGTAGTACTTGGGGGGGGGTGTGCTGTGCAGCTGGGAGAAGGTAGGAGACAGGTTAACTCTTTATGAAAGAAAAAAGCAGAGTTGAGGACAGACTCTGGCAAGTACCCGAAAGTATGGGAAGGTGTGTGATAACCTCTGTGTGAGCACCCACCAAGCAAGCAGTTCCCACAGTCTACCCATTGCTCACCAACTGCAGTTTTGGAAGACAGACTCTAACCTCTGTATTTTCTAACTTTCCCTACCTTGGTCAATCTTCTCTACGCCAAGGACCTCATTTACCCACAAAATCTCTTTGCTATGTCTTCTAAACAAGTAAGTACACAGATAAGAGATAAAGCCATGTACCTGCAATGTGCTAAGGAGCTCGTGAAGATGAACAATGCTCTGGAAAACCTGCTGTAAAAGGAGCAAATGGAAACATTCATTTCATGTTTTGTGAGTCTCAGAACCCAACATACCACATGGCTATAACATTTTTAAAACAGCAAGAGATTCGATTTTAATGAAATCTTTTCACATACAAAGAACTAAAGAGAGTAACTGAGTACAAGCAGCTCCCCCTAAAAGACAACATCTTTCTCTATAAAGCTATAAAGCTTCAACTGTTTAAAATGATTGGCATAAAAATGGTATACATCCCAAAGTTAAAAAAAAAAAAAAAAAAAAGAGGCAGGTATGTTGACACATGTCTATAATCCTAGTACTATGCAGAAATGCAGGAAGATCAAAAGTTCAAGGCCAACCAGGTCAACATAGCTAGTCCATAGCAAGATACTTTGTCTCAAGCAAACAAACATGTTGGGGAACTGAGGACACAGGTCAGTGGTAGAGCGCTTGCCTAACACGTCCTGCGTTCAATCCCTAGTACCACCAAAAAATTTAAAATAATGCTGGATGTGGGCATGATAAATGATGATATAATTCTAGCATTTGGGAAGCTGAGACAGGAAGATTGCTGCATGTCTGAGACTAGTTTGTATCACGATGAGACTGTGTCTGAAAACAACAAATAAGTGCTTTTATAGGGCTAGGAACACAACTCAGTGATAAAGCACTGAAGTAGTGTGCCTGAGGTGCTCCGTTCTATACTCAGTACTGCAGGGGTTAAAAAAAAGGTTATATACATGTCCTTGGTACAATGTTATATCTTGCTTTAAGATCCACAGTATAGAGGGCTGGAGATATAGCTAGCATGTAAGTGTCATGTATAATCAAGGGGGCGGGGAGGAAAGACTATCCAATTAATTGCTTGGAGAAAACGGATAATTTCTGGAAGACTTTCAATTAGGAAGCTTGGCATACACGCATGTGTACAAGTGCGCACGCACACACACACACACCATTTAAATTACAAGAGCCAAAATATAAGAGAATGTTTTCTGGCTGAAACAGGGAAGACAAAAACAGGAACAATACAGAAACGGAAGAAACCATGTACAATGGCAAAGGACACAACTTAAAAGAGTGCAATGGAAAAACAAGATCTTTTAAGAAAAAACAAAAGCTAAGAAAGTCCTAACACAAAAATACAAGTTAATAATTTACAAGAGAATTAATATTAATTAACATTAAATTATACTTACAAAAGAATTACAAATGGCCAATCACATAAAGCATTAAAAAGGATTCAAGGGGTTGGAAGTATAGCTCAGTGGCAGAGTATGTGTTTAGCTTGAGTGAGGCCCTGGGTTCAACCTCCAGAGTATATACATACACATGCAACAAGGGATGTTACTTGAAATTATCAACCCAACAAAATGCTGGTTTGAAAATGGTAATACCCAAATGCTGAAAGTAAAATAAGAATGGATACTATACACTATCTCCTTTCCAGCAGCAGCCTGGCATGGTAAGGAAAGTCAAAGAGCTATGTAACATTGTGTGCAAGGATGTATATGGGCAATGCAGAGAAGGGATTAACCCCCAGAAGGAATATTAATGGGACATGACAGAAGTAATCAATATGCATTTGTTCAGTAGCAGACTCTATACTCCTGTGTCTTGGGAATGTGCTTCTAACACATGATGAAAGAAAGCAGCAGCTCTAGAAGTGTTGACACAAAACTGCAAAGCCATTTTTACATTACTCACACAAGTCTAGACACATAAGCACATGTTCTGTACAAGAAAAGGACAGAAATATAAACACCAAATACTTCAGAGTAAGTACTTCTCAATGGTGGGATTATGCTTAACTGTAATTTACGTTGCTACTCTTTTTAACATTTTACAAATTTTGGACCGTAAGTCTTTTTATAATACTTAAAATTTTTTAAAGCTTCTCAATTACCAAGCTCAGGTCTCCAGAAAATGCTTATCATTTGACTCTTAAAAGACAAGAGAAGGTCCACCCTCCGCAGGCCTCTCTCCTACTGGCAAGTCTCTCTCTCTGGGGTAAATCCATTGCTCCCTCTGAGCCCTGACTCCCCCGGCCTCATTCACCCTCCCATCTCCCCCGCCAGTCTCTCCTCCTAGTTTGGGTCCTGCCCCATTCCTTGTCTTGGGGGCCCCAGAAACCTGGGGAACCAATACTGCTTCCTGATCTGTTTCATGCAGACCAACATAGTAGTGCCTACTCTGGGCCACAGGAGTACTGCTTCTGGGCCTGGCCCCGCCCTCACCTCCCTCTGCTTCCCTGGGCCTGCACCACCCTCCAGCTTCTTTCTGGGACACTGGGGCTGGCCTTTCCTCTTCCTGATCCTTTGCATCAAGACCAACATAGCTTCTCGGGGCAGTGCCCAGGAGTCCTTGGGGCCTCTTCCCGCCCCATCTGCGTTTACATCTCTGGGTGGCATGGCCACCAGCTGCCCTAGACCAGCATCTTTCCTGGGCCAGGCTCCCAGACCAGTCCAACCCCCAAATTCCTGAGGCCAAAATCTTTCCTGGAGGGATTCAGACCTTAGGAGAAAGCCTGAAAACATCCAACCCTCATCTGAATTGGGCCTCTGTGGGAACTCCTGAAGACAAAAGCAATCTGGCCACTCCAATATAAAATCAAAAGAGAGAACTGGAAGCTTAGAAAAACCTGCCTTTCATGCCCAAAAAACAAACCACAAAGACACATAACGTTCACAAAAAGAAGCAGACCTAAAATTGAAGGCCTGAGTCTCACACAAGAATCAGAAACTACAAAAGAAATTCACATGTCAAAATCACAGAGAAAAAATAATAACATGAAAAACCAAAATAACATATCCCCACCAAATAACGATATCCTCTGGAGGAGTACAATGAGAACTCCCTAGAGATAATGCAGGACATGAAACTCAACAATTATAAACATGATAAAAGAATTCAGTGAATTTAAAGAACAGACACACACACAAAAAGAAATCAAAGAACTGAAGGAAGATAGGGATAAACTTCTGAATGAATTCAGAAAAGAGTTAGAAATATTGAAGACTATTCAGGCTGAAATGAAGAAACAAATGAAACACTCAGTAAGCCAATTAGAAGGAGAAAGCCTCACCAATAGGATGAACGAAATGGAAAACAGTATCAAGACTGGAAGACAAAGTGGATGAACTAGACCACTCAAGCAAAGATTATGAAAAATTTAAGGAATTGCAAGAATGGAATATGCAGGAATTGTGTGACACCATAGAAAGACCAAACTTACAAATCATAGGTATACAGGAAGGAGAAGAATCCCAAGATAATGGCATGGACCAGATCTTCAACAGAATCGTGGAAGAAA